TTATTTGATCATCATAACATTATCCTTGTCATCTTTGTCGTTATTGCGGTTTCGATCGACTACGGTTTACGGTCGACGGCGGGGACGAAAATGACGTCAAAAGAAAAAAATCACCCTGTCTAGCCTGCGGCAATCTGGGCGCGATTAATCGCTTCTATTTCGGGACCGAATAATAATAATAATTACAAAACGTCACCGGCCTTTCGTTTTCCTTGTCTCTGTCAAAACGATACAAAACCACTGCCACCGCCGCCGCCGCCGCCGTCATAGGTGATAGCTACCGCGACACGTGCTCGTAATGAAATAATATTACGCTAAACCGCATCATCGGACGGTTTTCCGAAATACGTAACCGCGTAATAAATAAATTATAATTAATATATAATACCATCCGTCCGTTTGCCACCGTCATAATAATTATTCACGGTGATTCATGGGCGTATCTATCGGGAGGGTGGTGGGAGGAAGGGTGGCTGAAGCATTTTCCAAAAATATACGGCAGGAAATCGTGGTTTTAAATATTAAAGTACCTAGGGTTGGTTATGGGACTTTGGAACCGTATTTATGACGAAAAAAAATAAAACTGTCAGCTCACCCTCCCTTCCCCGAAAAAACTGTCTGCGTGCGCCACTGTACAAATCTTCAGCGGTTATAAAAGACGCGTTTTAAAAGCATTTCGAGTGCAAACACAGGTATACTTTTGAAAAGTATTATTTATAAATTCATTCGCATAACTTTTTGGATTCCGAGTGTAGTGAAGAAAAATATGTTTGTTTTGCTTGGAATGATATGCGATGGATTTTTTTTTTCTCTCTAATAACACTCTTTCGACTAGTAAAAATGCACCGGCTTCTTCGCGTGATAACTAATAGGGGACGGATTTTTCGCTTGATGATAATTTACATATTTTTAAAATGTTTAATACATTTTCCAGAAATTCGCTAATACCTAAATAATATTGCAACATCAAAATTTCTAGGACGATTGATTCAAACCAAATAGTTATTAATAAAATGAAAAATTCATACGTTTAATAATTACGTAGAACTTGCAATTAACAATATTAGTAAATCATCTTGTAGCTTGAAACACGACGCGTGAAGTGTTGCGTTACAATTATAAATACCTAAGGCAAACAATATTATAAAAAAACGATAAAAGTATTCAGACCAATTTAATATATTCTGTCTCTAATACAAAAAGGTTAGTCAACGCGCATTTAAAATACACGTATTTCGAATTCTAGCATTCAAATACTTTTACTCGAATAATTTACGAGTTTGCGAAGAGCCAACTATAGTCTATGATTATTCATGATGATAGACTGTGTCGTTGTGGGTTGTCGTTCGGGCTCGGTGACTTACAGTATATGTATAATGTTCCGGCCGGATCGATGGATTTTTTTATTTTTCTCGGAAAAAACGACGTTTTGAACCCGACTATCTAGATAGGTACAAATACCGAGAAAGTTTCGTTCCGTGAATTTATAATTTAGCGACGGTCGGTAATTGAATCCGAACGGAAACTCGCTATAGTATCGAGAACATAACGCTTCGGCGATATTCAATAGTGAAAACAGACAGCGGTGCCTTTTTACACGATTTTGTAGGCGAAAAATGTCTGTTATGGAAAAAAAAACAAAACGTACGTAATGAAAAAGTGAACAAAAGAGATTCCTCGGCAATAAGGGTTTTCCAATCATACACATTGTTACGGGAGATTGAAAAATGTATACTTTTGCATTCGAGATGTTCCGCAACGCGTATATGAGGTTCCCTACGGTATAATATTGTCCGTTTGTCTTCGGAGATGATGTATCCATAAAATCACTCGATTACCCGAATACTTGTGTTAATGAATTTTCGGTTTTTTTTTTTTTTTTCTGTAGGTGAGTTGGGATATTATCGTTAACACTGCCTAGTAAATACCTTAAATGTGCGAGGACCTCTTTTTTTCGTAAAAAGTTATTATGCGGGGAAAAAACCTGCTCGGCCTATAGATTTAACTAAGAAATCAAGCCTTCACCGTAAAATAAAAAGAACTTTAACCGTTTGAAATTGAGTTATTTTTTCGATATTAACTTTTTCCGTAATAATGATACCGAAAAACTAAAACCAACGTTGCGCAGTACAAGCTCTCTTTGTCTTACGGTGTACATTTCGTTTCTAAACACAAAGCCCCAGACGTGTTTGCCCGCGCAGAACGGTTTTTTGTAAATATCTTCGTTGACTTCGCGATTTTACGATAAATACTCGTCATGATGACACCGGAGACAACTTGGGAATGCATTTCAATGTTTTCGGGTCGATAAAATGTCACTTTTTTCTTTTTCCCGAAATATTCTATAAAATTGCCTATACGATACGCCTCAAATACGGGAGAGTACGTCCAGCTAAAAAAAGGCCGGCAATAATTTCCGGATTTTCCCGCGAGCAGCGCATGAAAACCAAGACGGTACACGAATTCGCGACACACCCGGTTACGAGAGAATCGATTGTTTTTGGATTTTTCTTCATTTTAAAATAAATATTATTCCCATCCGCGCAACGCTTACCGCGGTTCGGTATCGTTTTGCAATAATACACTCCAATATCGTTTGTTCACCGTTTATTTAGAAAAAAAAAATACAAAAATCGCATCGGCCGTATCCCACTTTCCACGGGAACGCAATTCGTTTCGATATTGCGAGGATACCGCAGGTTCGTTTTGTTTTAATCAAACCATTTGTTGCGTCTCGTAAATACGCCTACCGAGTGCGACGATAGTATGCAACTCGACGCAAAATCAAAACGCCAGAAGTACCCTCGTCTCGCAATTTCGGAGCGTATTTTCTTGTTTTTATTTATTTTTATTTTTAATAACATTTTTTTTTTTTTTTACTCCGCTTTTCGACCGCGATATGTATTATGTACAAGGCGCGTCGCGGAGGTTTGACATGTTTCATTATTATTATTTTTTTTTTTTTTTTTTTTAAATGATATTTTACCGACGGACGAAAATCGTCAAATCTTTGCCGTATCCTAACCGTATACACCGGGCCCGGTTCGTTTTTATAAAATATAGGGTGCCACGGGTGGGGGTGGTTATTTTTTAAGTAGCTGTCAACAACGTTTGCCTTTTATCCGCCGCCGTCGCCGCCGCAGGGGCAAAGAGACGGCGAGGCCGCTAAACAGTGTAATATTTATTTCATTTTTTTTTTTTCGTTTTTGTTTTTTCCCCTATATTTACATTTTATCAGCGTCAAACACACTGTGGCCGCCATATTACCGGCTGGCGTATACCTAATACACCTCTCTGCAGCGCGGATATTAACGTAACGGGGGTCGTCGGGCCACACGAACACACGAAAACGTCCGATTTCACCGGAAACATATTAAACCCGCACTCGTACTGCCCCGGGCGCTATTCAACCGGCCTCTCCATTCCCCGCCCGCCACAGTGTACACATTGCATTCGATTTTGGCGCCGGTATTTGAACTGCACCTGCGATAATGTGTGTACCGTAATAATATGATACCTGTGTATACTTATACGAGCTCTATTTTCGAAATATTGCGCGACGTCGTATTGTCATCGCGGGGATTTTCGCCGTATTTCCTAGTGAAAATAGAGACCGTTGCACTCGCGACGCGGGCGTTATATGTATGCACTTGTATCCCGTTGGCGCTACTTTTGGACATTTCAAGTGGACAACGCAGGACCAAAACGAGCTTAAATTCGGAAACACTGTGTGCTATGTGGCAGAATTATAGCGATGAAAGTTGGGTTGAATTTCAACGCGAATTCCGCCGTATAGTGTTGCGGGTAGAGGATATATTAAAATCTCCAAAAGTGAAGCCGGAGGGATGGCTTTTTTTTTTGTATTTATGGTATTCGTTAACAACGAGGTTCGGTCTTTTGGCAGTTTTCGTTTTCAAACCCCACACCTTTTATTTTTTTTTTTTCAAATTTCACCATTTTTCTACCGGTAGTATAGTATATACTATACTACAACTTGTGTTGGAGGGGATCATTTTTCGATTTCTTTCATATTTATGAGAATAACTGAGTAATTTTCGTTGATTTATGGGTTATACTTGGGTAAAAAGGGCGAAAAAACTGCCATGTAAAAACCCAACATAACACACTCAGAATCGTGTTTAGTTTTCGATGGTTTTTGTCATTGAATACAGATATATAAATCAAATTATTACTCTAATCGTGCTTCTGAAATACGCGCACACCATTCAGCAGTATCGGGTTTTTATAAATTCCATCTCGTCAACTAGGTAGGCGGGTGAGATTACGATAAATTTCGATTTCAATAAATATTATCCGTTTTACATTCCGTGTACTGAATACGGGGATTTTCGATGTTGAAACGCTCGCTGCTATCTCCGAAAATCGCGCGGTTACGATTATCTGTGGGTTTTGTTTTTTTTTTTTTCTACGACCCATACACAACGCGATCGCCCGTCTTATTCGCCCGTACAGAAGCGGGTGACCGAATAACCGATTTTCGCAAACATATTTCGTTCCCTATCTCCGAAAATCGCGCGGTTACGATTATCTGTGGGTTTTGTTTTTTTTTTTTTTTTTATTATAATTTCCAGGTGCACACGCAGACCGCTACCGACACATGTCAGGCGCCACGACGGTCGTCGACGAAGGCCAACAGCAGCAACGCGGACGGGTCGTTGACGGCGGCCGATCGACGCGCCGCGGCGCCCGTCGCGTGACCGCCACCGTCATCGTAGTCGCGGGACACAGATGAGACCGGGTTCGTCTCCGCCGCCGCCGCCGTCGTCGTCGTCGTTGTCGTCGCCGTCGCCGCCGTCAACGGTCGACCGCCGCAACCGCGACTGCTGTCAGCGACCGCACGGGCGGAACCAGTCGTCGCAGTGATCGCCGTCGTCCCGTCTACGGCGCCGCGTGAACCGCACGGACCGTGACCGAGCGCGCGACCACCTCCGATGAATGGGCGCGCCTCCCTCGACCGCCGCTCAGCCGCCGAGTCATCGGCCCGAGTCGTCGCCGCCGAATCCCGCCGGGACTCTGTTGCCAACGACGGCCGTGCCGACGACTTGTTCCGGGACGACCGCCGCCGTCGATTATGAAGAAACACAAACGCGAACACTTGGATTGCGGCTGACGTTAACTACTTTACTGCAGTTTCGGGGGACACGCGCACTCGCCACACACACACACACTCGACCACAAATACACACGTACACACACCCGACACACACACACACACACACGTATACCCGACACACAGACGTAAACACCCGATACACACACAGACACAAACACCCCGACACCCGAATAATAAAAAAGAAAAAAAAACCGCGTACACAATATAAATTATACAAACCCGCGCGCCGTCCGAGTCGGTGTGTGTAACAATATATATATATTGATAATCATCCCGTTTCGTTTTTGAAAGTTGTTTTGTTTTCTTTCTTTCGACCGCGTTCGAATTAATCGTAATATTATTATTATATATTTAAAAAAAATAATAAAATAATAAAATAATAATACAAAAATTTAATAAGAATTTATAAATATATTTTTTACTATCGAAACTCGACGACCAACCACGAATAAAATACGAAATACATTATTATATTATTATACACCGTGCGCTGGGCGATACCAATGTAAAAATAATAATAATAATAGCGAAAATAATCAAAAATTAAATTTAGAAAAAAAAAAAAATCGCGTTAACTGTCGAACATTAAATATCGTTTCCTGCCAATATGGCCAACGTGATATCCATGCGGAAAAATAGCTAACGGCCTACTCCTGGGTAACAAAGGTGCACCCATTATGCCAGGGGGCCGACGAGGTCTGGTTGCGCCTCAAAACACGTTCCTGGAAAACATCATCCGAAGGTCGAGCTCGCAACGTGAGTACAATTTTATCTTTTTACACTCCGATCGGTTCTGTCACCACGTACGATATTACCGTAACCCGTAAGCCCGTCCCCCTACCCCGCCACCGAACACTCGTATTCGATTACGGCCATAGTGTTATTATTAGTGCAAAGGACGTGCGACCGTGTTTAGGGGCATGCGATCGACCGCACGCGTCGTCTCCGTCTTGCAAACGAACGACGCGTTATGTGGCCCCGTCCCGAAATTCGCGTTCGTACGGCAACGGCTTTGTGCTAATATCGTTTTAATATCGGAAACGAACCGGCCCAATATCAAACTTAAAGGTAAGAACATTGTCCGTGCGACTTCGGTGCGATTCTGTTTTTTCATAATGTTAGTTACCAAACGAGATTATCAGACCGTGATATTTTACGCAACCATAGCTCTTTTGAAAGTTCGACTATCGTAACCAAAGCTCTAGAGTTACACAAATCATATTCTTACATTTAAGTTTGATAACAATAGGCCAATTCACTCTAATGTCAAAACTACTATCGCAACGTTGTGTCTGGTAAACGCGAATTCGCCGTGTCGTAAGTTTTCAAGACAGAGCCAACGCAAGCATGTGGATCACACTCGCGAATCTGCCGTTTTAAAAAATATTGCAGTTCGTTTTCAAATACGTTTATAAGTTGCCCCGCGTGTCAGTACAACATTTATTTGTTGTGCGGTCGCGGAGTGGACAAAAATGTTTATACGAAAACCCGTTACGAGCGGACAAAATGTACCCGGGCCATAGGCTCGGTGTGAAGGAACCGAATCGTCTCCGTAAAACAAAACAAACTTGCATAGTGCAATGTTGGTTTTAGTTTTCCGACATCACTGTTGCGATATAAGTTATTCGAGTTTGTAAAAATTAAAATTATCCGATTTTTAAACGATTGTTACTTTTTCGTGTTTGTAATATAGAAGAAAATAAAATTTCCTTTTTATTTTATATTTATATGGATCGAGTAGTTTTTTACCGCGCTAAACGGGTTTTCAGTACAATTACGGGCGGTAGCACGGCCTATTAAATCCGATTATTCAGTATGTGCGATATGGATAAAATTATGCGGGTCCATTGAAACGGTCGATCATCTTAACGGGTCTTCTTAACGGCCCGATCGATGTCTACTCATGTTTCATCTCGACACGGAAATCGGATTTTCATTATTCGAGTAGATACGTCGATTATTCTGTGTTTACGACGAGTCCGTGATATTACTACGGTGGATATTCCTCAAAATTCCACCCGTTCGCCTTAAAATGGTATTATCATCGTACATAATCGTCGTTGAGCTCATTACCTGTAGAAGAAAATCGTATAAATGTTAATCTATAGACAACGACGTACTATCTTTATTCTTTTATCAAACCAAAGGCTCTCGTTTGTGCTGATTTCTGGTCAAATTCCATCATTTGTGCTGGAACTCCGTTACACCCCGTCAACTGTCGTTGATTTGAATTTGAAATTCGAGGATGAGAATGCGGCCGTTTTGCTGGCACCTCCAATCATTAATCCTTGGAACTTCTGAAGGGTTACGGAAAAACGACGGAATTCGAGCATAAACCATGACAAATGTAGCACATAATAGGTTATAATAAAAATGATTATTATCTCCCCTCCCTTGAAATTGTTTTCTATCTACGGTACTGAATAAAACAATTAACCATTCATTTTTTAATACCGTGGACAATGGGTTCTATTCGTGTTATGCGACGTATGCGTCCGTCACTCAAAGAATAAACGAATTAAATGACTACGTGCTATGATAAAAATATTTGATTTGCTATTACATATGCCTGTATAGGAAGTACAAACCGGATACTCGAATCGTTTTTTGAATTTTAAGAGAACGCTACTTCTGCGAATGTGTTTACATCCGTTTTACAAACGCGCGACAAATAAAAAAATTTGAGCAACTACGTCGGTTTTTTTTGTCGGCAACATTTTAATTTTTAAGCGACATAATATATTTGTTTTTAAATTGTGAAATGTTATATGTTCCATGTTTCGCGAAAAAATTTAAAATATCGTGACAAATACCCACAGTAGTTACACAAGTAATTTTCTTATCTTTAAGTTTGATAAATGAGTTGATTCGCTATAAATATTAAAACTAATGGCGTAAAGTTGTTCCAGCATAACACAACTTTGCTGCATCCTATACGCTTGTAAGACGAAGGCAGTATTATAACCGAACGGGTTAAAGGTTAAATATTAAGGTATGTTGACTCACTTCGGGCGTGATGACGCTTATGGAGAGTTGATGGATGTGCTATGACGAAATTATGCAGATCGGCAGAAGGTGATGGCGGATTTAAAGTTTCGACGTGTCGAAAAGTAAATTTATCGGCATTATCGAATAGGAATTTATAGTACCGACGAGTGGATATTGTGCCACGAAAAGATACAAGTCAGAAGGAGTTGCTCGAACCGATGAATAATAAAATCTTAATTTTGGTAATGACAACTTCTCGATTCGTGTAAAATTTGTGCATTGTTTAAAATCTACAGGTTTTTTTTATTCTTTTTTTGCACGTTAACTGATTTTTTAATAATTACCATAATAATAATACTACGCGAGTTTTTCCGCCCTATAAACTCGCTATTTTTCTCGTTGATAATGAATAAAAACTAGATGATAATGGTATATTTTAAAGATTTTTTAAAAAAAACGTTTTGTTTATTGATTACACGTTCGTGTAGATTATAACAATCCGCACCGGTCGGCATTCGAAATCCTACGGTGGGACGGGGGAGGAGGAAAATGGAGGTTAATTTGTATATAAAACGTACGGGAAAAAAAAGGGGATAAGTCATCAGGCCATTATACGAACGGGAATAACGAAACCTATTATAAAACGTACTTATTCCCTTTTATGACCGGTCACCGTCCTATACGGTGTTATCCTATTATACCCGGTGGCTCGTGCGCGGACGTAAAAGAAATACACGCGGGATGTATATGTATATATATATTTTTATTTTGTTTTGTCTTTTATTTGTTTATAATCCGGGGGAATAATAAAAATAATAATTACGTCATAATTGTTGTGCGGGTTTAACGCGGACGGGGAAGCGAAGATGGGAAAAAAGTAAAAAAAAAAAATTCAAATTACACGAGCTACTATAATAGCGACATACGCGTTACGGGAAAACGAGTTCACATCACGCGCACACACTGTCCGGAACGAAAAGCGCGTATTCTTTCGTGTTGGGGTTTTTTTTTTGTTTTTCTCCGAACAAAATAAACGTAATAATATAATATATTATTTAACGCGTGTGTGTGTGCGCGTGTGTGTGTGCGCATGTGTGTGTGCGCGGGTGTGTGTGCGTGTGTGTGCGTGCGTGTGTGCGTGTGTGCGCTTTCGCGCGCGATACACATTACGTATACGTATGCTCGCCACTGCCGCCGTACGTACGCGAGTATCGTCGCGTAATCCCATAACACCCTTTGCGCACTGACCCGATAAGATAATATAATAAACGACACACCGTAATGTAGTTTCGCCACGGTCATTCCGGACACACTGTATATTGTTGCGTCGCGGGCGTATGCGATACAATTGTTTTATAATAATATATTCCACTGCGATAAAATACGTCTTATGCGCCACGCGAAATCGAAATTCCGTCTGCGCGTCTGTCCGCCGCGCGAATCCACAGTGTTATTCTGATCCCGACGAAAACCGGAAACACTTCGTATTGTTCTCGTTCCGCTCCATCGGCGTGCACAGTCTACGGAAGACCGTTGCCGCCACAACCCCCCCCCCCCGTCACTTGTCTCCGTTTTCATTTTTCTGGTCTTGTTTCTCGGGTAATTTCGGCGAGATCCGGCTTTACCGTTTATCCCGCCGTCCCTGTTCAGGGTCTTTTTCCATTCGGTCTCCCGGTAAATGTTCTGTTTGTTGTGCCTTCACGTTTCCCGTAGACCTTTTACACACTATAAAGGCGATGCGATTTAGTGCGGCGACGCCACATTGTCATATGCGATAACAGTCCTTACCGAGTGTGATTGAACATAATAATTTCGAAGTTATATTGCGTACGACTTATTTATGTTCAAGATTTTAAAAGTAGATACTTAGATGTAAACTAAGTTGTTGAAAACTTCATTTTGAGTAAATTTTATTAAACAGTAGTGAAATCTTAGTTTGTAAGTACTCGTATTTTAATCCGCCAAAACCGTTTAAATCGTATGTTTGTAAATGGGACTATTAAACTATTTGGACCCTAAGTAGTATCGAGTATCCCGGTACTAATTTGAATTGGCTTTGTCCGTAGATGCCCGAGGGAGAGGCGAACTAAATTATCGAAAAATGCATTTAAATATTTTTAGTCAAACATTTCGATTAAAGTACCGCCAAGCAAAAAATCCAATTGTTCTTAATGGCGGGTGTACGGTGAAAAAGTATCGGAGGATTTCGTACAATATAACTGGAAAAACGGTCACAGACACGGAGGGAAAAAACATTATACACACATA